GGTCGACATGGTGCAATCATTGCGATTATATCCATTCAAGGTCGCATAAATACTTACTTGTACTTACAACCAAGATTCGAGGTGAGCATATATATGTCAGAGGGGGGGGGGGGGAGCATACAATTAGAAAAGTGGAACATGACATGATGTAGGCAATGAAACTGGTCCCACAACGAATAATACCACTGTATTACCAGTTCCACCATACTGCTACTAAATCCGGTGTATTAGTCTGAAATCTAGAGGCGTCAGCGCTTGGACAACTTAAAACTGTTTTAATGAGGAGAAGGACTTTTCCCCCTCTTGGGAGGTCACATTTTCACTTTCGCTGATAACCTGACAGGTAAAATCTCTTCTTTGTGAAAGTGTGACCCGATCACAATGTTACATAGGATTTGCCGCTGAATGGTGTGAACTGCCATGCCACACACACACATGACGTCGCTGCGTTCATATTTATGCAGGACTCGTTGCGTTCCTGCAATAAATATGAAGCGAGGGCGGCGTATATGGTATATAAATCTAGTTCTGCGGACTGCTGGTCGCGTGTCCATACCAGTCATGGGTGTGCCACCCTTTCAAAGCCGTTGAAACGTGACAAAAAGTGGTAGAAAACGAGTAATACGAAGGATATGATACAGTGTTGTCACTTGCCCGCTTCAACAACTGGTGGAGAACGAGTTTGGCACCGCGCCAAACGCAGCCGCACTGACACGCCCAACCGTACGCAACGAACTACACTATATAATGTATCTGTGTGGGAGCGTGCCGCAAGATGAGTCTTTCAGTGTACACTTGCAGGGAACCTATCCCAGCAAGTGTACACTGAAATATGGATATCATGGTCCCATTGTAGTAGTCCTAAATTATCACTCACTGTCAAAGAAATGATTAAAGCCCTACTGTACGATAAATGTCATCAAATCCATTAGGTTGCACCCACCAGAGTTTGGAGCGTCCGGACAGCACGAGCGACTAGGAAATAAGACAGCGCTTCGGTTGCGCGTTTGACGTGATCGATACAGTCGAAAGCATGCGCATCGATCGCGCCGAACGCGGCGGACGCGAAGGCGCTTAGCGCGTCCGCGAGTCTGAATCTTCTAACTACTGGTAAATGGCTATTCATTTCCCGCACTACTGAACAGCCAACCACATGCTTAACCACAGCCGGAGGCGCTACTTGTCTGTCCATCTCACTTCTGGATATTCTCTACCGCGCTAACACCGCGTGTCCGCCCCCGCCCGCAATCTTTGCTCTACTACGGTAGCAGATCCGTTCATCTCGCACGCAGCAGAATCATTATCCAGCCAGATGGGTGTACAATTGCTCTTTACCAAGAGTCCTGAGGGGAACGAAAATCGAAACGAAAACCGTATTGCAGCTAGTAGACACTGTTATCGCCATTCTACAGAATAATTTCCATTCAAGGGTTGCTCCTGAAAATTTTAAAGTGTGCAGACAAGGCATGTAACGAAGGCGTGGATTGACTTCAGCGCCAAAAAAATGGGTTAAGTATTTTTTTTCTTAAGTGGGAAGTTTTGAGAAGCATTGCTCATTCGTGTTCAATGGCAGAGTGGGAGATTGTGCCCAGAGCGCTAACTGTAGAGAGCAATCACTTTCGTCGAACAGACATATGACGTCGGTTGGCCCAAGGTGAGTAGCAGAAATGAACCGCTTTCAAGCAGAGTTGGCTTCGCTGCAAGCGCCACAGGTGGCCTCAATGTAGCAAAAAAATTAGATTCCGTTAGCCCGATAATTCCCTAAGACCAGTAGGGATCAATTATTAAGTGCCGCATGACAGATTTCTGCGGCGATCCTGTCTGAACAGGCGGTGTTCGTAGTTGCGCCTATTGGTGCGCAAAAAAGGTTTGTCCGTATAGGGGCGCCCCCGATCGAGTCTTGGAGGCACCGTGACGTGAGTGCGACTCCACTTGTCTATCGCCTTTCTTTCCCCCAAAATGGGACGACCTTACCAGATTGCTACTATTTGCTTCATTTACGAAGTTAAATATGAGCGCTGAGGGATTGTATGAAGTGGCCGCGGTGTTGCATGAATATGTAAGCACATACGTGCAGCCGTGCCTAACGTAGCGGTCATTAACATGCCTACGGAAAACTCGTCCAAAACTGCTCTTGAGTCATCAAGCACGATGGTCCCTCTCCGTAGGTTTTTGACCGTTTCACTTCGTTTTTCGCCATTTCCCCACTGTATAGCGCCCTGCTGGCATTTTAGACCGAGTACCGAATTATCGTGCCAACTGCCTTCAAGGCAGACACATTATCATTAGACAGTCGCCAGTTGCATGAGGTGCTCACGTCCAGTTGACTAAATCGTGCCGCTCTCGCAACGCGAAAGGGGCGACAATGACCTGGGAAGGTAAATAAAAAATTGATCTCCTTAACTACATACGTTGCAAATGGTTGTCCTTCAAAGCCAGTGGTTGCACCTGCAAACTTTTTTTTTCTTTGATCTTTCCACAAACGTGTCTCACCTTGCCAGTCAAGTAAATTCCTATCAAACACAATGTGAACTCCGCTAAGCTCGACGAGATAATAGTAGCGTCATTGAAATTCATTGAAGTATTTCCCCATTTTGTCCGGAATCTCGACATGGCACTTTGACAAGTTTGATAGGAGTTTACAGGCTGTTTGACAATTTACAACAAAGGTTACAGGGTGTTGACAAGTATTCGCAGGCATACCGTTCACAGGATTAGTAAGCTGACAAGTGTTCACAGGTATGCCCCCCCCAAGTTTATTAGGGACCTGATTCCTAGCAACGTTTTAACGCGACTGAACCTGCGTTTCAGGCATTGAATGGTCATGGCCTCCCTACATACCAACTCATCATTCCCACTGATAGGCGAAGTTCTGAACACTTTTGAGAGAGGCTTTTAGTTGACGCGCAAAGGTTGGGGCTATCCTCTTCTCCTGGCAAGATGTTCTGTCGTTTCTGGGAAGCGGCCGTATAAGAAGTAGAAACCGCAGCATGTCTTCGAAAACCACGCAAACATGCTTCGACTTTAAGGTCGACATTCCGAAGATGAAACAGTAAAAGGTCACAAAAAGCGCCTACAGACAGTTGGTGACTAGACATAAGCAAAACTGTAATGAAAGCATGTGTCATCGGCACCATCTGCAGCGGTTATGTCATTAGAAGACGGGGTCGTGCTAGAAGTGAAATATTTTGGAGTCCCCACCCCCACCTACGAGGTGCATGACTACATAAATGGAGCAGTGATGACGGCAATATGTCAGAAGTAAAGACCACAACTCGCTGCAACTTCAACTATCCTCAGCTACAACATGCGAAAGCACAGTTTCTGGCTAGGAAGAGGTACGTCATTAATCAAAATCTTCTCAACGCTCTTTTCATTGATTCACATTTCAAGTGAAGCAGTCGAATGTCTCTATTCTGTTTCAGTTGCTGTCGTCGCATTTACATTGAACATGGCTGGAGTGCACGCCTCTGAGGGAATCCCTGAGCAGCAGGAGTAATGGAAACGCTGCGCGGCCTTCACCCCCGATAACAGCTGCACCCTTACACAGGGGGCATCTTCCATTTTGGTTTCAGAAGCTTGCCGCCAGCATCATCGCCGATAGATCGTCGAAGTCCTCCGGCGGGTTTACATGCTCATCCACTAGGTAGCACCAACACAGGAGGCAACTTTTCCGCTTGTTTCAACAGCAATGTTGCCTTCATCCTCAAATAAAAGTGTCTCTCCTTCAGCACATTCATATTCACCATCGGCAGCACCGTCACAGGCTGCAAGCTCTACGTTAGGTCCATTTACAACGCCGACTTCAGCGCAGAACGATACTGTCCCTCTCCATGACCTCATCCTCACCATCGGCTGCATCGACTCAGAGAACGGCATCCTCTACCTCGGGTGAGGCAACATCGCCGACTTCAGCGCAGAACGATACTGTCCCCTCCATGACCTCATCCTCACCATCGGCTGCATCGACTCAGAGAACGGCATCCTCTACCTCGGGTGAGGCAACATCGCCGACTTCAGCGCAGAACGATACTGTCCTCTCCATGACCTCATCCTCACCATCGGCTGCATCGACTCAGAGAACGGCATCCTCTACCTCGGGTGAGGCAACATCGCCGACTTCAGCGCAGAACGATACTGTCCCCTCCATGACCTCATCCTCACCATCGGCTGCATCGACTCAGAGAACGGCATCCTCTACCTCGGGTGAGGCAACATCGCCGACTTCAGCGCAGAACGATACTGTCCCTCTCCATGACCTCATCCTCACCATCGGCTGCATCGACTGAGAGAACGGCCATCCCTTACCGTCGGGTGATCGGCAACGTCGCGACTTCAGCCGCCAGAACGATACTGTCCTCTCCATTGATCATCCTCACCAAAATTCGGCTCCTGAATCGACTCAGAGAACGGCATCCTCTACCTCGGGTGAGGCAACATCGCCGACTTCAGCGCAGAACGATACTGTCCTCTCCATGACCTCATCCTCACCATCGGCTGCATCGACTCAGAGAACGGCATCCTCTACCTCGGGTGAGGCAACATCGCCGACTTCAGCGCAGAACGATACTGTCCTCTCCATGACCTCATCCTCACCATCGGCTGAATCGACTCAGAGAACGGCATCCTCTACCTCGGGTGAGGCAACATCGCCGACTTCAGCGCAGAACGATACTGTCCTCTCCATGACCTCATCCTCACCATCGGTTGAATCGACTCAGAGAACGGCATCCTCTACCTCGGGTGAGGCAACATCGCCGACTTCAGCGCAGAACGATACTGTCCTCTCCATGACCTCATCCTCACCATCGGCTGCATCGACTCAGAGAACGGCATCCTCTACCTCGGGTGAGGCAACATCGCCGACTTCAGCGCAGAACGATACTGTCCTCTCCATGACCTCATCCTAGATCGGCTGCATCGACTCAGAGAACGGCATCCTCTACCTCGGGTGAGGCAACATCGCCGACTTCATTGCGCAGAACGATACTGTCCTCTCCATGACCTCATCCTCACCATCGGCTGCATCGACTCAGAGAACGGCATCCTCTACCTCGGGTGAGGCAACATCGCCGACTTCAGCGCAGAACGATACTGTCCTCTCCATGACCTCATCCTCACCATCGGCTGCATCGACTCAGAGAACGGCATCCTCTACCTCGGGTGAGGCAACATCGCCGACTTCAGCGCAGAACGATACTGTCCTCTCCATGACCTCATCCTCACCATCGGCTGCATCGACTCAGAGAACGGCATCCTCTACCTCGGGTGAGGCAACATCGCCGACTTCAGCGCAGAACGATACTGTCCCCTCCATGACCTCATCCTCACCATCGGCTGCATCGACTCAGAGAACGGCATCCTCTACCTCGGGTGAGGCAACATTCCCGTTCGCCGACTTCAGCGCAGAACGATACTGTCCCCTCCATGACCTCATCCTCACCATCGGCTGAATCGACTCAGAGAACGGCATCCTCTACCTCGGGTGAGGCAACATCGCCGACTTCAGCGCAGAACGATACTGTCCTCTCCATGACCTCATCCTCACCATCGGCTGAATCGACTCAGAGAACGGCATCCTCTACCTCGGGTGAGGCAACATCGCGACTTTCAGCCGCAGGTAGAACGATACTGTCCTCTCCATGACCTCATCCTCACCATCGGCTGCATCGACTCAGAGAACGGCATCCTCTACCTCGGGTGAGGCAACATCGCCGACTTCAGCGCAGAACGATACTGTCCCCTCCATGACCTCATCCTCACCATCGGCTGAATCGACTCAGAGAACGGCATCCTCTACCTCGGGTGAGGCAACATCGCCGACTTCAGCGCAGAACGATACTGTCCTCTCCATGACCTCATCCTCACCATCGGCTGCATCGACTCAGAGAACGGCATCCTCTACCTCGGGTGAGGCAAACAATCGCGACGCTTCAGCCCGCAGAACGATACTGTCCTCTCCATGACCTCATCCTCACCATCGGTTGAATCGACTCAGAGAACGGCATCCTCTACCTCGGGTGAGGCAACATCGCCGACTTCAGCGCAGAACGATACTGTCCTCTCCATGACCTTTCATCCTCACCATCGGCTGCATCGACTCAGAGAACGGCATCCTCTACCTCGGGTGAGGCAACATCGCCGACTTCAGCGCAGAACGATACTGTCCCCTCCATGACCTCATCCTCACCATCGGCTGAATC